CGATACAGATCCACCGGGCCCTAGTGTAAAACCTGACATAAAACTGACTGAACTACATGCACACCTACTGTACATTGCCATTATGAATCATGCAACTGACAAATTGCTGGTGGTGTAACACACCAAGAGTCTGGAGCTTCCACAACACTCCAGAACTGGAAAATTTTTTTGTGTCAATGTGATTTTAAAATGATGTACAAATCCCAGTTTGAGCACTATGTGAATTATGAAAATAGTTATATAGTGGATTTATTTGTATGCAAACAGATACACCCGAGTCCCCTGTAGGTTCTTTTCCATCATCATGCTGCCTGTAGCCACCTGATTGTGCGGGACATATTGTGTCGCCATCATGCTGCTTAGCAATCGTCCAATAACAAACTAAAATCACAGACCAAGAAAATACTGTAGCATAAACATGTAATAGTTTGGGAACAAAATATCACAAAACTTACTTTTTAAAAAGCAACTTCGTTCCGATGAAGAAGTTAGAACTGCTAAACATTTTCTGACTGAAGTCTTGTATGAACGTTGGAAATGCTTTCGGAGTGCCAAATGCACAATGAATAAAATTGATTAACCCGACTGTAATGAAATGGCAGCGGGCATTTTAAAATCTGCCGTTTTGGGGAGCAGTCTGACACTTAACCTCCGTTACATCCAGTAAATGTAACACGCTGGCTTTGCCAGTCTGTTAAAGTGAAGGCACTCTCTGGTGATGAGAGCCAGTGGGTATTTCTCTAACTCACAAGGATTTTCTTAATACAGATGAACAAAAATCAGGACAATTTACTTTATCCTCCATTCCTAATCCCGACCAAACTGGTCATGTGGTTAGATAGAAGGATGAATAGACCCTTTAAATTTTTTCCTTTATTAATCTGGTGGACAATATAAGTACTGCAGATGGACCTAAAGAACACATTTACAATTAATTTTAAAACCTCCTTTTTACAATGTTTTGAAATTGAAATTGTTGTACTGATATTTAGATTAATAGAAATTAAACAAGAAAGAAAAAGCAATGAGATTTTGCATACAGAAGTGAATGGCTGGAAGACTCTTCAGCTATCAGGCCTCTCTACTGTGGGACCAGCTCCCAGTTTGGATTCCAGAGACAGACGCCCTCTCTACTTTTAAGATTAGGCTTAAATTTTCCCTTTTTGATAAAGCTTATAGTTAGGGTTGCATCAGGTGACACTGGACCCTTTTGTTGCATTTAATCATTAGTTATTTTTAAACTCTGGCTCTCTCTCACAGCATGTCTTTTGTCACCGATCGCAGCAGATGGCAGCCCCTGGTTCTGCCTGAGTGTTCTTCCTGTTAAAAGGGAGTTTTTCCTTCCCATTGTCACCAAGTGCTTGCTCATAGGGTTTGTGATATGTAATAATGCAGGGTCTTTACCTTACAACATAAAACACCTCAAGTCAACCGATACTGGATACTGGTACAATAGATATATATATAGAGAGAGAGAGACAGACAGACAGACAACAACAAGCAATACCCCAGAAGATGAAAATGAAACCGTGAAAAAAACAAAACAAAGAAAGAAATATTTCATCTTAACCCTAATGTGATGATCAGAGTAGGGACTAAAGTGCCACTTCTTGGGTAGGTGCTCTACAGTCTCATGTCTCACACATGTACGCATTGCCTATGTGAGTCAATTAGTCAGTACTCTTGATGGGTGTCTATTCGTTAATGCAACTCCATGCAGTTCAGACTTGTTGTACTGAAAGTGTGTATGAGGTTGTAGTGATCAGTGTTCATTTCACAGCCTAGTGAGTACACACGTCTGAAAGGGGTTTAATTTGCCACATTGTTGATGGTCTATACACGCAAGCGCACAGTGACACTAAGCTATAATTTAGAACCTCTGAGCAATAAGCTAGCTAGTTTTATCATCTTAAACCAAATGAAAATCCATTCTTTTATCTTTTCACCGTGAACACATCACTGTGGCTGATCAAGAAGTAGTTGCAGCAACCCAACTTCCTATAACAAAACTTGCATTTATTTAGATATGGGCATTTATACCCACCAATGATAGATGAGCCCAGAAAATCCAAAATATGTAAATTTACGCATCATGTTAAGGCCTTTTGTTAAGGCTTTAAAAATGCAATTATTATATGTATTATATACTATATATGATATTTTATATTTTGCAATGAATAAATATTACATGTTCTATTTCAGACAAACATTTATTTAAATCATATCAAATTACCTTTTTATTTTCTCAGTCTAGTAATGGAGTCCTGACCCAAAAGAAAGAAAAAAAACGTTAGACTCTAAGTATAAAAACCCTCCAATTTATTCAGTGATTGCAAGTGAAGAGACAATTTTGCTATTACTAGATCTAATAACTCCCCACTTGCTCCACTTCCCATCTTATAGGAAGGACTCTGCATTTGCTGAAACTGTCATGTCATCATGGACTCTCAGTTTTCTATTTATGTTCAGAGAAGATGATCACTTCGAGCACCTGCCACCACTCTGTGCCGTCTAATTATAGTCAGTAACGGTTCATCCAAGAAGATAAACCAGGGTGCCCAATAATATCCGGCACTAAGTGACTTGTGAAGTGAGCAGGAAATGAAACGCGTGAGTTCAACTGGAAGCACTGCGCAGTTCATAAAAGTGAAGGGAGGATGACAATGGAGTCACAGTAAAGGAGAGTGACTAGGAGGAAGCCGAGCGAGCAACAGAGTGATACAAGTGTCATACGAACAGATGAAGAAAAAAAAAGCCAGGTTGGTGAAAAAGAAGAGGAAATGTATCAAAGAGGTGTGAGAGCAGCTGGTTTTTATGTACATTAAAGCTTTATAAAAATGTAACAGTGCAAATGCAAATTCCTTGCTGAAAGTTTAACCAAAAGGCATTTCCAGTAGAAATGGGCTGACATATCCTGAGCATAACCATGTATAATATCCACTGAAGTTAAAAAGAGGTGCTTTGCAACATTAAACTGCAGTGTGCAGTACGCATTTTTCGGACCATAAGGTGCACGGGATTATAAGGCACATTAAGTGAAACAAAGCAGTCAGATAAATCAAACTTTATTAAACTCATTCTTCTTGCTTCCTCCACTTCTGTACCATTGATTCATTAATGTTGAATTCTCTGGCAGCTGCTCTATTCCCATGTTGCTGCAGTATATTAATGACTAACCTGGTATTGTGGATGGATTATCTCAGTTGTTCTCCTGACTGAAGTTTGGTCCGTTTACAGCATCCTGCCATGCGATTGCATTTGTCTCTAACCATGAAGAACCTTCACGTTAACTTTTATAAGTGGAAAAGTGTTAGTGTTCGTCCTCCAGCTTCACTGTTTATGTTATGCTAACATAGCTGTGTCGCTAGCGATCACGTAGCACATCATTATATACCAGCTAGCCCAACTTCAGTAACCCTACAAACGTCACTGCTGTTTAGTTTCCTGTCTTCATTTATGTTGGAAGTGATAGCAGAGCTGTACGTTTGATTTTTTTTTTCAGAAATCTCTCAGTCAGAACATGCTATATCATGCTTAGGTAACTAGCGAAACTAGCGAGCTAACTTCCGCTAGCTTCCTGCTAACTTCTAACTCCGTTAAATGTAATAACTTTTGTTTTCATGGATGCCTGGAAGTTAAACTTTATAGTTACACCTGGTAAAGCAGCAATGCTGATCGTTTTATTAAAGATGAAAGAATTTAGACAGTTTTTAACTCTCAGTGATGCTGCAGTGTTGTTTGACCTGAAGATTAGGGAGTTTAGGACCCAGATTACTCCCAGATTTAAGAGCATCTTAGTCCGACAAATATGACAATAACAACGGCCGCTTGCATGTTCTGCAAAAAAATGTGCTTTGTTGTGTATCTGACGGACAAACACCAAACCAGTTCCACATCACTGAAGTTGCACCATTTTTACAAACCAATTCTGGTTCATCTGTTTCACTCAACAATCGGCCATGTGCGTATGAAAACAAAGGCACTGCGCATGCGCGTTTTACTCCCATTCTATCGCGATATGTCATTTTCCTATCGCTGCCTAACATTATACCGGTATTACCGTGAACGGTATAATATGGCCCAGCCCTAATGGGAATCACCTTATTGGTACATAAATTGTATGCCTATCAAGCTAAAATAAATAAATATAAAAGTATAAACACATAATAAATACAGTTTAAAATGTAGAAGTTGCTAAATTGTCTGTTATGTGTAAATACATAACACTGACCTATAAATCATCCTGTTAAGTCACTTAACAAACCAACAACAAAAAGCATTTGAAAGTGGTCAGCTATGAGGACTGAAAATTAAAATAAAAAAGCAAACGAATGTCCAAAGAAAAACTTTCACAGACCTTCAGAAAGCCTGGAGAAATATTTCTCAAGAGCAGGTTAAAAAAAACATTACAAGAACATCTGGCTCCTCAACAGCAAAAATACATTAAAACGAGAGAAAGCTCAGGACTATTGCACAGCAATGTATAAAGAAACACATACAAAAAGATCACTGCATACACAAACTTTAGCAGACACTCTTCATTTTATATTTTGGAATAATTAGAGGAAGAAATAAGGGAAATTTTGTTTATTGCTTGGGTGTCTGCCATGAATACAGGAGTGTGCTTGTGAGTCCAACGTTAAGTCTCTGAGGTAATCTTCTAATATTATTTCCATCTGCACTTTTTCTACTGAGACATTTCTAAATACCTCTAGTCACAAATCTGTTGAAGGAATGCAAGTCCTCATATAGAATTTCAGTGTACATCTAGTTGCCGCAATGAAAAGATGAATCAGCAGCGATTTCAACAAAGAAAATAATTAACAATCTCTTTAATTACGTTCCCATTGACAAAAAAAAAGCAGAGCAGGAGTATAAACGTGCTTCTCCCCGATGAATAGCAACAACAAGGACATCAATGGGAGTGGTGGGGGGAGTTCCCTCAGACAGAAAAGCCATTACTCTGCACATTCCACTGCATTATTGTGTGCATGACTTACCAAAGAGCTGGCGGTGAAATATAAACTTCCCGGCTAACAGGCCAGTGATAATGGCCAGTATCCAGCCAATTACTTTCAGGATGTTCCACCCGAGGCCTGGGTACTTGTTGAAGAGGAAAGAGAAACAGTTCCCCACCACAATCATATGGGCCTCTGTCTGACTGTGAGAGATGGGGTCCTCGGCGAAAATTAGGAAGTTAAAAAAGGTGACGAGGTACGCCACAATGAGACGGGACCACGGGTGCTGGAAATAGTAGCGAAAAAGGGCATCTATTTCCATCTTGCTAAGCCCTCCAGCCACACTACACCTGGGAGTCAGAGAGAGAGAGAGAGAGAGAAAGTGCTTCTTTTAGTCAGATTACATTACCAGCCAGGCAGATTAGAGCAAACGCACCCCTCAGACACAGATTAGTGGTTGGAATATCACTAAAGATAATGGATTAGGATCATGCTCAATTCAGACCCGGCTCAGATAGAGCAGCACCTCCAATAACGCACACAGATTTCTTAACACAAAACCAGAGTTTCCAATCAGTCCTAAGATTATCACTCAGCTGTAAATTAGCAAACAGCCTATATCCTGTAATCGATTTAAAGGAGAGAAAAATAACATAAAGTGGACGATCAATCCACTCAAGTGTCCTCTTGTGCCGGTGAATCCCGTGTCATACCTGGAAGTGGTGGACTCTTGAAGTACTATATATCTATTAGCTATAAATCGCTGGCTCGTCTCCTTTCAGCCCGTCTGCTCTGCGCTCTTCTTAAAAAAAACTGTTCCAGCATTACAGTGAGGCTTTCCCCGGCAACACCAGCCAAGCAGTGCATGAGTAACCTGCAGACACCCCGTCCCTCCTGTATTTTTAATCATTATTCACCCATGAACTCCACTCTTTCTTTACTCCATCGCTCTCTACCTCTTTGAACCGTCTGACTTTGCTGGGCTGAACTTCTGCCTGCTTTCATACCTTCCCTAAAACAGGGCATGGAGGGGGAAGAAGGAATTATGTAATGGCTTCAAAAATAGACCTGGCTATTAAATTTCACCAGCATCATGTTTGTCTTGTCATGATGCTGCCACCTTGGGTGATAGTAGGCTGATGAGGTAAAATGCAGATTTAGTTTACTTTCTTTATCAAACTGCAAGCATTTAGAGGAAGACGAGCAGGAGGAGAAGGCAGACTTTTAGTGTGACCAGGGACCTGCTCCCATTCTGTGGCTAGCAACTTGTGACCAGAGAGTCCCAAAACATGAGTTAAGTGGGACTTAGCACCCAAAAAAGAACAAATTGGGCCGGGATAAGTTTATCTGAAGGTGGGTGGGTGGGCTATACCCTAGATAACCACGATGAGTAATGAAGAGCTCAACTGATGTTTCGGGACCTGAACTCCCTCTAAAGCATAAAGATTAGATTTGCACTGATCAGAGCAGAGCAGTCTAAGTGCTGCAGGAAATACTCCAAATGGCCTCTCTATTTGAGGCACTTCTGGCAATTTCTGAATGGACTATCGTGTTCAGGGCATTAGTGCGTGATCGCACCAATCTCCCTTCTAACGACGCCAAATGTCACATCACTGACCTTATATAATTATGAGATTTCACAACAAGCTTGACCATTTTGGTTCCTTCTTATCTGAATGTAGGGTACACCGAGTGAGATGTGGGACAGCCAAAATCCGTGCAAGTTACCTGCATGCACGTCGCTTTTTCTCATTTGTGCATGTGCAGTGGGTAAAGTCAACACGATTTTACACACCTGCTCCACGCCGTTTTATCTCTCAGTCGATGTCCAGGACGAGAAGCCCCGCTCCCGCTCTGCTCTCCGGCCACATCAAGCCGGCAGCGGCGCTCTAATCATCCTAAACAGGAGATGATACGACAGGGCTGAAGTGGGATTATCCATGCGACCTGTTGTTGTTGGTATACGACAGAGGCACCCACAAATCCTCTGTCATTGTGCCGGACTGTCCATACGCCGGGCGGGGCGGCTATTAAGCGGGCGGTGCTTCGTCACTGAGTCCCTGCCGTGAGGTGCGGTTTCTGGGTAGTAAGTAGGACGCTTCTACCGCCGCTGTAGCAAGGATGGAGGAGGCTGAATCCACACAGCAAGCGCAGCATCAGTGCAACGCAATGTAGCCAACACGTTGATTCACTAGCGCCAAAGTCAGAGCCAATACAAATACACGACTTCCGCTCACGTGTTTCAAAATAAAATGATAGCGACATCCATAACACAAGTAAGACTTGAGGAATCTATAAGTATACCAATATATGTATCACAAC